ATCCCTATTATCTCCAAAAGCCAGCTGGAAGTTCTCAGCACAGGTGGAGTATTTCACCTGGAAGGTCCAAAGTTACCTGGACCGTGGCCTGCTTATGTCACTGGATGAGCCCCACATGTCAGCGTCTTTGTCTTATGGCAAGGAGCCATTCCATTTCTCCATCAAGGACTCTTCTGAGTTCCTGGCTGCAGCACCCTGGGATCCGAGCAGCTGGCTCATGGAGAGGGTCTCCTTTTCTCAGCATAGTCCCTGCCTCCCACTTTGTGCTGTACCTGGAGCCCCTAACTTTGGGGAATAAACTTCCTGACTCCTGCATGGAAAAGGAAGATGCTATCATCTGGCTATTAGGATGAGAGAAGATGACTGAAGTCTAACCTTCAGTTGACCCCTAGTTTTAGTCTCATACTTTGTCTTCCATAGCATATGGGGCCTGAGTGTTTTGGGATACTATGGCAGGAATGGGATTTAGTTTCTCCCCCTGTTGTGGGGAGGTACCAGGGATTGAACTCAGGGGCACTCAACCACTGAGCCACATCCTCAGCCCTATTTTGTATTTTATTTAGAAACAGGGTCTCACTGAGTTGCTTAGTGCCTTGCTTTTGTTAAGGCTGGCTTTGAACTTGTGATCCTCCTGCCTCAGCCTCCCTAGCTGCTGGGATTACAGGCATGCGCCACGGCACCCAGTGGGAATTTTGTTTTCTTAGCTCTGCTCACTTCTCCATTCTTTTCCATCTTCCAAAAGTGTGATAAAATCTATCGTTTTGATGTAGTCTTCTCTCTCATTCTTTTTGTCCTTGTGCTTATACATTTTTATTCCTTTATTCTTATTTTTGTAAGGTTGTGGGAGAGAGCAGGAATAAAAGCATGGGTTCAATTTGCCAGCTATAACTAGAAATCTTCTCCTGTGCTCATTAATTATTTAGCCAGCTGCAATCTAGCTGTTTGCCCTGTGAATACACTGGTGTGATTCTTCCCAAGGTCACCAGTGGCCTCTTTTTTAAACCTGGTCATGATCTTTAGTCCTTGCCTTACTCGTCCTTTTTCACTGAAACCTTCCTTGATTCCCATAATACCAATCTCCTGATTTTTCTCTTGCCTTTCAGGTCATTGCTTCTCAGTTTTCTTTAGAGACTCCTTTCTTATATTTGCTTATTTAACATCAGGCTTCATTCTGGGCCCTCTTTCATGACTATCTCCCTGTAAGCCTGATGATCTCATTCTCTCCAAGACCTTTTCTTCCATGACTCCCAAATTCATTACACCTAACATTTATTTATTCAACTGCTTTCTAGGTAAAACCTTTAAAGGTATGCACAAATATGGCATAGCTCGTTTTCTTCCTTACTTCACAGCCTTGCCCACATCTGTTCCTCCTCCTAGATTTCCAATTCTACCTGAGAGCATCGCCATCTAGTCCTTGGCCCAACTAAAAACCTGGAAACCTTCTCATCTGTAAATATTTTTAAAAACATAAGACACAGTACTTATTTATGTAACCATATATAAATACATAAGTATAATATTAATTTATATACATATGCACTTTTTATTATACAAAACTTCAGACATAAAAAAGTAGAGCGTGCATATATGTTCTCAACATCTAATTTCAAAAATTATCAATATATTTATTTCATGGATGACTTCTACTCCTTCACTTCCCAAATTCCTTTTATAGAATCCCCAGGCAGTGAACCAGTTCATCAGTAAAGATTTTAGTACATGTGTCTAGAAAATGAAACTTTGGGCAGATCTTTGATTCCTCTCGGTCTCCTTATATCAATCTCAATTGGTGACAATATTTTAAAGGCTCCTGGAGGCTTCAAGGTAAAGAACAAACACATGGTCTATCTGCCACCTTCCAGTTTCTGGTCTTCTCCTTCCCTTGCTTGCCACTCCAGCCATCCTGAATTACCTGCAGCTCTCTGAAGAGACCCTTGATTTTGCACATGTTGTACCTGTTGTATGATGTCCTGTCACTTTTCTCCTGGCTAGCTGATATAGTAAAACTTAGGTCAGCGACTGGTTTAAGAACCCTTCCCTGTCTCCCCACTGTGCTCTGAAAGCACACGTGCTGTCTCCATGGCCCACTGTCTCCCATGCGAGAAGGAGAACTCCCTGAGGGCAGAAATCATCTTATCCCTTAATCCCTAGAATTTATGCAGTGCCTGGGGCAAAATAGGTGTTACCTATTTATAGAATGAATGAGTGAATCAAATCAAGAGAGACCTCAGAGAAAAAACAAAAAACAAACAAAACAAAGACTAAACTACAAGGGAAAGGCTAGGAGAAGACCTGGGGAGAGAAGGGGGACAGAAGGACTGAAAACTCCTTTTCAAAGTTTCATGTTTGGCAGACTAGGGGATGGTAATCGTAATGACAAACATGGGAGAAACTTGGAAAGAAAGCTGCCTTTTGAGCCAGGCACAGTGGTACATGCCTGTAATCCCAGTGGCTCAAGAGGCTAAGGCAGGAGGTTTCTGAATTCAAAGCTAGCCTCAGCAATTTAGTGAGGCCCTGTCTCAAAATCAATATAAAAAAGGGCTGAGGATGTTGCTCAGTAGTTAAGCCCCTCTGGACTCAATTCCTGGTATATACCAAAGGAGGGGGAGGGGGACAAAGCTGCCTTTTGAGAGTGGATAATGAAATCTAAAATTTTTATATGTATTAAATGAAATATATAGATAGGAATTAACAGCACACAGTGGTTCAGGAATAAAAAGAAAAAGGAAAAGTCTTGACGTAGGTGGAGGAGAGCCCTGAAGTGGCAGAGAAGAGACATAAAGGAGAATAAATGACATGTTATGGAACATTATGAAATAAAATAGAATCCAAAAAGGAGTGCTTATCTGTTAGTGGTTTACATAGTGGCATGTCACATCCATTTTTTAGTTGTGTGGGTGGGGACTGGGTAGTACTGCATGTGAGTTATTTCTACTAGAGTTCAATGAGTTAATAAATGAAATGAACTATTACTGGCTGGGTGTGGGGGGTGTAGCTCAGTATTAGAGCACCTGCCCAACATGCGCGAGGCCCTGGATTCCAACCCCAGCACTGCAAACAAAGAAACAGCCAATATTACAACAGTGCATGACATACAGAAAGCACCCAAATGTTAGCTGATGATCCTCATCTTATTATTATTATTTAGTCTGTGGTAAGTTGAGGTCTTTTTCACCTCTCATCCTGTTCCAGAAGATGCCCGGGCTCTGTGTGCCCATAATTTAGTGGGAGGTCTGACAATCTATCCCACCCATGAGGGACTGGAATAAGACTTAGAGGAATTGTGTGAAGCGATGGAAACTGAAGGTGGACAAAGAGCCATGGGATGCGTCTTGGAAGACAGTCACAGCTCCAGAATAGTAAACAAGCAAACCAAAAATTAGGTAAGTTGGGCAGAGAGGACAGAAGAGGACTATGGAGCAAAGGGGGTCACAGCAGCCAGAGGAAGGGAGGGGTTGCAATGAACTCCTCATTAGTAGGGTCAGAGTCACAAGAAGGTTAACAAGGATGGATTCTAAACTAGCCCCTGGATCAGTCCAAGAAAGGGGCACAGTGAGTCATGAAGTGAGTCTTCCATGGCAGAGGGAGTGTGTGATGAGAGGCAGCAGCTTCACTTAGTTCAGTTGAACTACTGGTTGAGGGGAGACAGGGACTTCAGTTGGAAGGCGAAAGGAAGGAGAGAGGGAAAGAATGGGCAGAAGAGGGAGACGTAGAGAGGTGAGGAACAGGACTAACTGCGCGGGCAGAGGATTAATAGTACACTCAACTGTATGGAAGGACAAGAGATAGGTGCAAATAAGTGTTCAGGCATCTTCTAACCTACAGACTCTTGTGGAGAAGCCAGTCTTCCCCAAACTCCACTCTCCCTCCTACCTTCTATGTCCTATGTCTGGCGATTTTCGACCCAGTGTTAGATCTAATGGAGCTAAGAGAACCCATCCCTTTCCCTCCTAAATTCCTGTCAGTGGGGAGAAATGAAAACCTGTCTTGCTCTTCAGCAGTGCTTCAGAAGATGGCAGCCATTTGCCACATGTGACTATATAAATTTAATTATGATTAAATGCAATTAAAATTCAGTTCTGCAAACTAACTACATTTCAAACATTCAGTAGATCCATATGGCCTCAGAGATCTAGAACGTTTCCATCATAGAAGAAAGTCCTGCGGGACAATGCTGCCCTGAAGTCTTAGAGGTCTTTCATATCCTCTTCTATATTAGGGACATTTAGCTCCCTCTACCTTATAAAAAGTTCCCTTTCTAGCCCCATACAAGGAATCACATGGATTCTGCTGGAAAAAAACTATAGCTTTGCTCTAGGGGAGGAGATATCTCCACTGTCTGGGACTGAAGTGCTCAGTTCTATGCTACTGGGACTTACTTCCTTCTAAGCCAGCCCTCAAGCTTACACCTTCCATTGTGTCTGCTCAGGGGTGAACGTAGTCATGTCAAATCACCTTCTCTGGCCTCTGAAATGAGCATCAGGACTGCTTGCTGCCCTGGATGAGGTTCACTAGCAAACCTCCCTGGATCTATCCTCTGCATCCTGCTTGTCCCCTAGACCATCTCCCGCTCTCCTCCCTTTCTCCTGCTTCCTAATGACAAGAAGTTGCCAGATGCCTTGATATCTATGGAATTTTGTCAGACACTCTGGGGCAACATGCCCTGGTTTGTGAGAAGCAGAGGATGACAAAGTTGGAAAGACCCCTAGTCCTTTAAGTCAACTTCCTCATCTGACAGATGTGATGGGAAACAGCTCTGAATAGGAGGGAAAGGTTAAAAGGCACATGATCCCCAAGACAGTGAGCGCAAAGCCAGGGCTATCGATGGAACTGCATTCCTGGGTGTGTTTTTGAACTTCTCTGCCTTGGCTCATGCCTTATGCCCTTTCCAAGATAGCATTCCTTTTACGGAAAATGCAATAACCAGGGCCCTAGGTCTCCTTCCACGTGCAGGGAGACTGGCAAAAGCTGCACATGCTTAGGGATAGAAACTCAACTCTTCTTGGCGAAAGCTCCACCCGAGGGAGGCTGCCCCCTCCTTCCTTCCTCCTGGGCTCCCTCCTTTGGCCACTCCTTCTCCTGCCATGGCTCTGGTTTGACCACTTCCTAGGAGGACAGGAAACATGAGGACAGAGTTCTGATCTGGGTATGAAGTGTAATGTCCCTCAACTTTCATGAAAAGTAGTGAATAATTCTGTCAAAATTCCTAAAAAAAAAAAAAAAAAATCCCCCAAGGAACTGAGGGTAAGGAAAACTGGGAAATGTACAGAGGACCTGTGGGTCTAGCTCAGTGGTATATCACATGCTTAGCATGTGCAAGGCCCTGGATTCAGTCCCTAGCACCAAAACAAAACAAAAAAACTGTGCAGACATAGGGTCCTCTAGAACAAGCATCCTGGTCCAGCTACTTTTTCTCTGGGAAGGGTTTCTGCCTTTGTGCTCAACATACAACTACATCATTGGCTTAGGAGGTAACACTCCAACCCCACCCCTTTAGAATTCTAGCAACCCTAGTAACTCTAGTCTAGGGGATCTCTTTTTATACCTCTGTCTCATTCCCAACAGACGACATCTGGCTCTCTCTCTTTCTGAGATAGATCTGAGAATCAAAGGAAAGAGTTTTTAACACTTTTACTTCATCCAAAAGCCACTAGGATAGAGTGGTCTGGTAACATCTTAGCATGGAAGTCACAGGAACTTCTTCCAACTCCTGCTGAGTCTCCCCAAGTCCCACCTCCACCCCACCCACCCGCCTTCCTAGCGGGTTGCTCAGCAGCTCCTTTTCGCTACTAGGAACTCAGGAGAAAGGTCTTGTTTTAGCAGCCAGGGGCCAGCCAACTCAGAAGCAGCAACATGTCCTAAAATGGTCAAAGAAAACTCCACAGGTTTGGCTGGAGCTCAGCTCCTGAAGGAAGGGGGGAGAATCCAGCAGGGAGGACAAGCTTTATTTCCCCATCACCGCCCAGGCCTCAAGCCTAAGATTAACCCTTCTGGGTTAACTACTTACCATTCCATAGGACCTCCAGGGAGCCAGGTGACCGTGGAATAGCCTTGTTCTCTTTCAGCACGGGACTGACATAGGAAGCTAAGTAAGGGACAGATGTCCAGATCTGTTAAAGAAAGGGAGGGATGGCAAATCAACACAGACTTCTCACTCATTCTCTCTCTTATGCACACACACACACACACACACACAGGCCAGTGATGTGATCTTTAAGGCCTAGCCCTCTTTCCATCTTTCCTCTCCTTGTCATCACCTTCTTTCACTCCTGAGGCTCATTAGGGCACCAACTCAAGGAACCATAGAGATGGTTATGTCCAATGAGAACCAGAGCACAGTGCTGGGGCAATAGCTCAGTTGGTAGAGTACTTGCTTACCTCGCATGCACAAGGCCCTGGGTTCAATCCCCAGCACCACAAAAAGAAAAAAAGAAAAGAGAACTGGAGCACCTGAGAGGCCCCAGCTATCCTCTGCTCCCATGGGATCTCCTTAATAAGTCTGGGACTTTCAGTTACAGTGCTGGGTCGGAGTGGTTTTCATCTGTAAAATGACCATCAGCTGGGATGAGGGTGAAAATGGTTGAATCAATGAAATGAATGAATATTTATTAAGTGCCTGCCACGCACGCAGGCCGCCCCGTCTTGCCATCGCCTGTTTACCTTGGCTGCATTGACGAGTCTCCACGCGTTGAGCAGGCCGAAGCCATGCTGGTGGCTGTGGCTGAAGCCTGCTTCATTGGTGAGCCAATCTGCACGGCGGTCTTCATACTGAAAGCAGAGGCCTGGTTCAGTCTCCTGCATTACCCACATTTCAACGGCCTCAACCTCACTTTTCACTTGACTGTTGGCCAATCCAATCCAGACTTTTCCACTGAGGCCACGAGGAATGGATTCCCCCAGAAAAGCTGGGACCGAAGGTTAAAACCCCATGATATCACCACCCCAGAAGCTTGCTTCTGGAGAGGGAGCCCAGCCAGAGCTCTCCTTTGCAGAAGAGATATGAGTGAGTCGAAGCCTGAGGTCTTGATGGGGTTCCCATACCACTGCTTACACATACCCTTCTTCTGAAAGGGACTCGACACCTAACATTTGGGACATTTAGAATCTGAAGCCTGCTGATACTCAAACCTTGGGGTGGGCTGGGTGGGACCACTTATCTACCTGGTAGTATCTCACCTGGGTAGCTGTGAAGACAATGATGTGCTGGACATCACGCCATGTGAGGCAGGGCCGTACCTGCAGCATGAGGGCTATCATGCCAGCTGCCAGAGGTGCTGCAGCTGAGGTCCCTGTGTGGCCCTCTGTGCAGCCAGTGCCCTTCTGAAGGTCCCAGTCAGTGGTCACCTAGGAAGTGGAAGGGGGAGTGGGGAGGGTTAGTGACTGAGTTCAAAACTGCAGAGGGAGGGAAACCACACAGTCCTCAGAACAACCCTCTCTGGTGGGCCCTTTCTTTGTGAGACCAGAATGGGGCCCACCAACAGGACAGAGGAGACCTGTAGTCCTTCTGGCCCCCCAAGGAACCACCACATAGTCAAAATGAAAGAGCTGCTTCTGAGGGCATGGTTGTGGAGAAAAGGAGATGAAAACATGTGAGAGAATTTTGATGCAGACAATAATTTCCTATTCTTGTTCCCTTATTTTCCTGCTCCCATTCCCAAATTCAACCCCAAGCCCTTCAACCCTCACAGCCACACTAGACAGAGGAAGTGTCACGGGAGCTGCTGGGCCTCAGTTGGAGCAGGGACAACAGTGACAGCACCAGTCAAGGAAATACAATTTGGCAGCTCAGCCACGGGGGCTGAAGAGACATGGGGTGCAAACACAGGGAGTATGTTCCAGGGAGACAGCTGTCCTTGCCCACCCAAGCTTGGCATGGGCACAGTGTGTACACAGTCGGGTACCCTGCTTGGTGGCCACCCACAGGATAAGCTGCCTCTGTGCTCTGATTGGCAGCTTAGCTGGGTTTTCCGGAGCCCCGCTTTCCATTTGTGGTTCTGAGCTGGGGTGTCAGAATGGGGGAGATGGCATCTGTCTGGCATCAAGTTCTTTTCATGTCCCATCAACATGGAGCCTCAAAGGGGCTGGCTGAGGAGGACCCTGCCTGAACCTGCTCCACTAGGTGGCACTTGGATCCTTAACCTATGGTGCCAATGCAAAGACTACGGAATTCCTTTCTTCCATACTTCTCTTCTGGGTAAAATACTAGGGTACCGACTTCTGCCAAGAGCTGCCCTTTCTCCATTGTACTCACTGCTTCCATCCCAGCTGTTATAGCAGCTGCCAAGAGATGTAATTTTCACCCAGACACTGTGCACTCCCAGAAGGAAAGGGAGAAATACTCTCCAAGTTGTAGTCTCAATGAGGTGGGAACCCTGGCTGGTGCCAGGAAGCAGATTGATTTTTTCCTGTTAAGGAAACAGCCTTACAATGACAGTCTAGTGTGTAGCTGGGAAGCCTGTGAACTTGCCCAGGGTGGCAGGAGCCCTGTGCAGCCATAGGGAAGTCCAGGGGAGCCCCCCCCAGGCCTTTGTGGTGGAAAGCACATGCCCGCACCCCTGCCCTTACAAAGACAGCTCCACCCAGCTGCCCTGGTCATTGGATAGAAACCAGCAACAGGAGGTTTCCAGGGCAAGGACATTCCAAAATGGAAACTTGGCTAAATAAACTCGTTTCATTTCTGGATAAATTATAGTTTGGGTGGAAGGTAGGGTAAGGGTAAGAAGCTGAGTTGAGTTTGGAGGGGAAAGCCAGGTACCACAGAGCAACAGACAATGGTTATGGAGCCTTCTTGGAAATCTACCCTGGGGCAAGTGTGAGTGAGGTCCCCCAGAATTCTGCCAGGTGTGAGTAGCACAGTATGTTCCTGCTTTTTCATAACACAGCCTGGCTCAGGGTGGGGAAGGCCATTGCATGGACCCCAGGCTACCCAGCAAAGCCTTGCTTGATCTTTACTTCAGTCTACTTCCCCTTCTTCTTCTCCTTGGGTGCGGGAGGAGGGAGTAGGGGTCAGCTGGCACAGAGCCTTGGAACATTGTGTTGATCAGAAGTCATTTACTGGCATAACAAAATTTTAGTTTTGGAAACTGAACTTGACCCTGCAGGAAGACAAAGCTGCCTAATTCCCAGGGGCCCTGGAGAGACCTTCCAACCCAGCCACTGGAGAAATCTGACACCAGCTGGCTCCAGCCCAGCTCTTATTGGAGCCTCCTATACCCGTGTTACACTGCGTGAGCAACAGGGACAGGAGGGAGCTCTAGGATGATGGTGGTCCTCAGACCTGGCTTCACCCTGCTTGGAGACAGCCCAGCACAGGGGATGCAGGCCGTAGCCCTTGGATCCTTCAAGGTTCCATGGGCTAGAGCAGCTCTGGTCCCCTGCTCCAGTTTCTATGCTATGGCTCCAATGACAGCTCTAGCAAGAGCTCTGTGGGTTAACAGAAGACAGGCTCTCTTTCCCACGGATCTCATAGAGACAAGCGCTGGCTCCACTCTTGAGGACCAATATGACAGAACTCATGGAATTATAGAAATACCATGATTCTCTTTCTTAAGTTCATGGAAGGTAGCGCAAGCCCAAATTCTACCACAGGAAAACATTTCAAAGAAATTGTTTAATCAATGCAAAACTTGCTTCTATTAACAATATGTACATTTGTCCCAAGTTAAAAAGTTTAAGATAAAAACCATTCACACAGATTTATGCAGAGTCCTTGGTGGTTCTCCCAATAGTGGCATGCCCAAGAGTTAGATCTGTGAAGGCAGAGGAGCCCTAGGAGCGGGACCGGGAACAAAAGAACACCTTATGATGCCAGAGAGGAGTCCTATGGGAAGGGTAGGGGCAGGGGGCAGAGGGTCTGGGAGGCACTCACAATGCTCCGGAGCATCTTGTCCCCACCACTGAAGGTGACTGCCAGCATGGAGGCACATTCCTCTGCATAGAAAGGCATCCGACCCTCCTCATCCACAGCACCTGGGCACAGAGGGAAATGGGAGCTGAGATGAGGAATGGATCCTGCACAGGGCCTGATAATATCAGAGTTGTTTTTGAGTTATTATCTGGGGGAGCCATCTTGAGTGGAAAAAAAGATCTGAGCTGTCTCAGAATGCCTACAATCTTCATCTCAATAAGCAGCCTCAAGTGGCACAGAGTATTCTGTGCCCTGTGGCTATTCTTCCCATAGGCTCTGGGGAAAAACCAAGAGTCTTCCACCACTATACCTAGTTATTCACATTTCCCCCCCCCAACATTTACAAAATATCTACTGGGAGTGACATACTGTGCTTGGCAATAGGGCCATCTGGAAAAGGCCACTTCCTGATCTCAAGAAACCAGGTAGGAAGCTGAGTAAGTAAATAAATACACTTCTTGTGACAAATGCTGTGATTGAGAACACAGGTAAAGGGCACTTAATTTAGGCTAGTGGGGAGTGAGGGAAGGTTTCAGGCAGGAGGCAAATGGGCCATGGAAAAGAGAGGCCAAACCAGAAGCTGAGTCAGTGGTGGTTGGGCTGGAGATGGGGAGGTGATCTTCAGGGAATGGTTGGACGTGTTCATAGGGAAGCCCTAAGATCCCGAGAGTAGGCTAGTCCTATTTGAGCCCAAAGAGACACTCATGATCGTACATTTAGATAGACACAATGATTCCCCAAGATACATCTCTCTCTCTCTCTCTCTCTCTCTCTCTCTCTCACACACACACACACACACACACACACAGAACCATCAGGTCACTACCTATGGTGACTGTGTAGATGGAGTTGGCATAGCCATCATAGTTGCAGTTGTCATTGTGCTGGCCTCCATTGCCACTGGCTACTACAAAGATGCTCCCAAAACCCTGGCGACCAGCCATCACTCCATGTTGTAAGGCAGCCTGAGGAGCAAAAATGTCAGGGTATCAGTTGAGGAGCTCAGAGAAAGACCTCTACCTACCAAACCAGTCATCCCCTCTTCCCCTTCTAAAAAGAAAAGGGAAAAAAGTTCAAAGGGCACAGGTATGGGAGAAAGATATTTAGAGATGGACACAGGATGGGAGGGAGCCAGGAGTAGTACACTTGATGTACTCTGTTTATCAGATAACAGAGTGGGGCCGGGAAGGGAGCTGAGAACAAGATCAAAGGGAAACAATTTAAAAGCATTGCTTCATTCCTGTAGGTGCCCCCTACCCCAGGTTAGCTGTACTTTCTTCCTGCAAGAAGGCAGCAGAGCTAGATGGCACAGGTCTGGCAGTGCAAGTGGGAGTGGGTAGGAAGAGGGATCGACTTGTAGTAGTTCTTCTAGGACTGAATGAAGAGTGTTCTAGGCCTCCTTGTCTTCATGCAGTTCAGTTACCTTTCCAAGCTGGTGGGGACCGTCCACCGTCTTCCCATCATCATCTGGGCCCCAGCTGTTGAGAATAAATACAGGAAGCAGTCTGTGGCTGTGGTACCCACTCAGGGACTCCCAGTTTCAGCTAGCCACCCTTCTGCCTGTAGCTCTTACTCTCCTCCCAGGGGTGCTGGTTCAGAACTTTCATTTTTTTTCCCCCCGATACTGTGGATTGAACCCAGGTCTTGAGAATGCTAGGCAAACACCCTACCACTGAGTTATATCCCCACCACTTGGATTTCCACGATTAACAGATAGGGCTCAAGTCTATCTCTTCTAAGTGGAAAATAGAGTCCTTTCTCAGGTCCCAGGGAACAGGAGACTATACATAGTGGTAAAGAGGAACAGGGTTACTACTAGGCTTGATGGCAAAGCATGCATGATGGGATATTCCATGTGGGTCAGTTCTTGATTCTTAGGCTGAGTTTTCTGTTCTTTGTCTAAAAGAAAACATATCTTTTTTTGTGTGTGTGGTGTGTTGGGGATTGAACCTAGGGCCTTGTGCATGCTAAGCAAGTGCTCTACCAACTGAGCTATAACCCCAGCCCTGAGGAAACACATCTTGTGGGTGATGTCAAGGATTTAAGAAGGTAGTCGTTAGGGGGAGGAGTAGGTACCATCAATGCTTCAGGGCCACCTCACCTCAGTTCCTTCTTGGAACTTGTCTACCAGAACCATAACCTGAAGCTGCAGGAGCATTTTTGTGAGTTAAGAAAATAATAAATGTGGGGCAGGCTGGGCACTTCTTATGTGACAAACTGATTACTGGGACGATGGGAACTTAAGACTGAGGACCTAGTGGCTGGAGAACTGAAGATGAGGGCAATGACCTTATCAGCTAGCCCAGTGAGGAGTTCCCTGTTCTTATCTGCCTGAGTCAACCCATTTTGCTGTCCCTTTGTTGGAAGATTCCTCCCAGGTACATCAGCCTCCTGCCCTCTACTGGCTCTGCCCCACCCAAAGCTCTGCCTCACCTGCAGCTGTAGATGTCATTGATCTGATAGTGCTTGTTGAATGCCACAGCCTCCATGCTGTCTGTGAGTGGTCCATCCAGTACCCGGATACCTAGGTGTTGAAGACATACCAGCTCCTCACTAATACTGGCCCTGCAAGAACTGTCAGTGCCAGTTCCCTAATGGGGGGCTGGGTGGTGGGGAGCTACATGGGGGAGACATACTTCTCCCCTATATACTCTTTTGTACTTTTTGAATTCTTATGCCATGTATTTGTATTACCTGTCGAAAATTTAAAAAAAATTTTTTTTTCAACAGTGCTAGGGATTGAACCCAGAACCTTGTACATGCTAGGCAAATACTCTACCATTAAGCTACAGTCCTATACCTTTTTACTGTGAGACAGGTCTTGCAAAGTTGTCCAGGATGGCTTTGAACTTCATTTTGCCTTTGCCTCCTGAGTAAATGTGATTTGGCAGGCATGTATCACCATGCCTAACCAAAAATATTTTTACTAACATGCTGGAACTTAGACTTTAATGATCTTGGAGTCTAATTAAAAAGAGTGGGGCTAGAACGAAGCTAACCAAGATTCTCTTATTATTTTCACCCTTCATCATGTAAAGCCCCTAGCATAGTGCTTGACATGTCAAAGGTGTTCAGTAAATGGTGTTCAGTACCATTACTACTCCAGGGATGCCTAGTTTCACCCTCCAAAGTAGGGTGGGTCATATCCTGGTGGACCATGTAGGGACAAATGGGGCTTTGAAAAAAAGGGAACCTTGAAAGTTTCGTACCCCTTCTGTAGTCTCATCTGCAGAAGGCTACTTCCCTCTGCTGGATATTATGAGAACTACAGCCAACCCATTGGGTGCTTAGGTTCCCAGGCATTTATTAGGAATCAAGTGGATGGCTTTCCTATTCATTCCTTTCACCTTCTGTCATGACAAAGACTGAGAGGTAAAGGAACCAGAGAACCTCTTCTAGCATAGGACTGGGTTAGCTCTCTTGAAAGAATGGAAAGCAACTGTGATCATGAGTAGCACTGGGGGCTGGGAGGTGGGCCTGTGACAGCAGCCTCCATAGATACAAGAGGTTGTGAAGAACAACAGAGGAGAAGACAGTTTGTAACGTATGAAAATATGAGTACAATGTAGTCTATTGAAGGAGTTGTTATGAGTATTGGGGCATAGCCATCATCAGAAAAAAGGAAGAAACTGACCAGGGGCTTGAATCTCTAGCCCATGTCAAGAGCATTTCTATTTTTATCTGTTTTATAGAGTGGGGCTTGCTGCTAAGAAAACATGTTTGAAAAATCAATGAGCTAAGGCGTCCTTTTAAGAGTTCATCCTTTGCTCCAGGTTGTGAATACTGGGATGGAATAAAGTTACACAATGGGGGTGCAGAGCAGGGAATGACCATTGTGGCCACAGGAAAAGCCCTCTAAGGCTAGTGGGAAGCCCAACTTACCTGCTATGCGGCTCCCATAGGCTACACCCACTGCGCAGAAGCTGTTGTTGGGCACAGCAGCAATCTCTCCTGCACACCGCGTGCCGTGATGGTTGCCATTTTCCACATCCGGGTGGGGCATAGGGTCAGGGTCATTAGAGTTGAGGTCATAGCTACCCTCTGGGCTCTGAAATATGGAGGGGTGACATGTGGTCACTCACTGGTTAGAGGGGTCAGGGAGAGAAAGGAAGTAGGAGTTTGGGATTCCAAGTCAGGCCAGCAGGCCCATCTTCTTCACATCACATAGGATACAAGATATGAGCAAAAGACAGTGGGACAGAACTGAGAAGTGCCATGTCTCTCAGCACCCTTCTCTCTGGCCTAGTATAAGAACATATAATTATAAGAATTATAATCTTCTCTTTTGGATAAAAGAGATTTAGGGCTCTCTGAAGGTCATGCTTTAGAGAAGGGAAGGTACTCAGGATGGTGGAGAGGGAAGAAGTTGCCTAACTGGGCCACTCCTTCACACCAGAGAGGGAGCAGCAACAGGAAGCAGGAAGTACCTCTGAGGATTGCCCTCCCTTGGGATTGGAGCCACCTGTTGTGCCTTAACTGCCAACCTAGAAGGCTGGCAGGGAAAGGAGAGAAGGAAGAATATCACCCCACCTTCCAGGGTGTTTGGTTTGGCTCAGTGCCCTTTAGGAAAGGGAATAAGACTGAGGCAACATGAAGAAGGTGGTATGACATGGGGTAGGAGTGATCAACCCAGGCCACTCACATAATTGGGTGCAATGTCCTGGATGGTATGCTCCACTCCATCGTCCACTACCACCACTGTCACCCCTTGTCCAGTTACATTGCGCTCCCACACACCTGTCACGTTGATATCCCTGCCAGGGCTCCGGCGGTTATTCTGTAGGAGAGATGGGGTGGGAATCTAGTGACACACACAGCACAGTCTAGAGATAGACAACTTTCAACTTTGAACTCCACCAAAGAGCCAGACAGAGGTTACAAATCAAAAGAGTACTAGGGAACAGAACCAAGAGAGGCACATAAGAACTCTGCCATGACGCTGGTCTCCAGGGAAGGTTGGCATCACCCATGGGTGATTCAGGGTGAAATGGTGGCTTGGGTTACAGGTTGGATAATATAATTATTATGCAATAATGTCAGTAGTTATCACATATGAAATAATTTCTCCTATGTGCCAAGCATTGTTCTAAGTGCTTCATATATATTAATTCACTTATTCTAGCCTTAACTCTAGGAGGTAGGTACCATTTTGCAGGTGGGGAAAGTGAGGCATAGAGAGGTGAAGCAGTTTGCCTGAAGACCGATCTAATTTGTGGCAGAGCTGCAGTGTAAGCCTGGGCAGCATTCAAGCCCTAAGCACTATAGTGCACTGGTTCCAGGGAAAGTAGAGGCTGAGGGTACCATACCACTCAGCCCCCAGAAACGGCCCCTCAGACCAAGGATGGGACAAGTGAAGAGGGATTTGGTGAAAAGCCCACTAAAGAACTAGACTAGAACCTCTTCATCTGAAATGGACACTGCAGGGCTGGACTCACCAGGTGCCACTGCTGTGGGTACTTTGGATCATTGAAGTGGACGCTGCGCTTGGTCCGCTTCAGCAGCCTCTGCTCTGAGTGCCAACGCACAGCTTCATGCCTGGCCAACACAGCCTCTGCCTGTTGCCGGATGACTTCCGCCTCCATGGCCTGCTTGTGCCCAACTGGCTGGACAAAGAGGTAGTGGCCCTGGAGCTCTCCGATGCGTCCGGCGTTCACCAATCCTGCTGCCTGGGCCACAGCATGTGCCCGCTGCTCCAGATTTTCTTCCTCTTTCTCACCTTCCAGACTGTCTAGATGCACAGCCCAGCTCAGTCCCCCTGTGCCCTGGGCATCTAGCCCACCTGTCCCTGCCAGGCCCATGACCCAGGGAACCAATAAAAAGAGCCCGGCTAATTCCAGCCAGAGGCAGGTGGGGAGGCCCAGGGGGGCATCCAAGTGTGGCACTTTCTGTCTTCCCTTCGGCATCAGAGCAGCAGGCTGTGGGCAAAGAGAATGGAATAAAAGAAATAAAAAGAGGTGATAACCACAGGGGTCTGAGAGGGTAACTTTGAGTCCTCTGTGTGTTGCCCCTGGAAACCAATCTGCTATTCCCATTATGAAACATTTGATCTTTTTTTGATCATATTTACCCTGGACCAATGGAGCTAAGCCCCAGGTGGAGTGCAGGCCAGGACTAACCCCAGTGGATGACCTCCCATGGCATGATGGGCCAAACTCTGCTACACCAGATAAACAAGCAGGGTCTTGTTGCTCATGGGCACCATCCTGCTCTTCCCAGTGTTGCCACTCTCAGGGATCAAAGTACATGATACGCCCACAAACACTGGTAGCAACATGACTGTTTTTTAGGAGGACCCTTCCCCTCTTTATTTAGAAGGGACGTAAGTCATATCCCAGCTGACTTCAGTTCAGTTGTCCTCGGGGCTAACTCCCATGCGATGGGGCCCCATTCCTACCTGGACTCTCTGTGAGGTTGAGCTTCTGATTTGGCTAACCACGTCATCCTCATTTTATGCAAATGAAGAAAAAGTGCCACCTTTGCTGTGAGAACTGTTGACTCTGAGCACAGGCTGAAGACCTGTGGGTCCTAAGAACAGAAAACAGTGTCCCACCAAATCCAGTGGAACAAGCAGAGGCTAGCCAAGGACCAGTCACCAAAGATGCTGGACAATGATAAGTATCATTGCCAGGAATCTAAGACCGGTCCTAGACTGGAACAGCTCTGGCACAGTTAAGTCCAAATCAGTACAAAATCCAGCAACTCTACTCTTGACCTATCAAGCTATCCTTTTTCATTTGTTTCTGTAGAGGCCCTAGCAGAGGCTTAACTGTTAGCCTAGGGAGGTGGCAAGGTGAAACAGGAAGAAAGTCAGAGAATGAAAACAAAACCAGTATAAAGGGCAAGTGGGCAACTGGGAGATAAGCAATGACTGGAAAGCAGCACCGAAGAGACGCCCCTGTAACCAGCTCAACAGGCTGGCTTGGAAGCAAAGGCTCAGGCTCTGAACCTGTCCTCTAATTGCTTAGGATCCAAAGAACCAGGGAAAAGGTCTTAAAAGCTCTTAAAGAGATAGAAGGGTCAAGTCAGAACTGGTAGGCAACCATGGGGACAAGCAAATGTGGGTGGTTAGGCTTCTTTAAAAGCCTCTGCTGTCTACTGAGTCCACCATGGGGCCAACTTTGAACTTTGACACACACCCAAAAGAAGTCAACTAAAAACATTCTAGAAAAAAAACAAAAAACAAAACATGTGTTTTTACTGAAGAATCCTTGGAAAGGGAGAGGACTTAGGCCACTTAACATTTCCCTCCAGGATTCTCCATTCCACATCTCTCTCTTTTCCTCTTAGGTTCCAGGGCTTATTCTCTCTCAAATTCTTCCCTGCCCTCTAGTAGCTTCCATTGTCTCAAGATATTCAGGTGTCTTTCCCAGTCCGCATACTCCACTAAGTGGAAATGAAATTTTGTTGGTAGCAAGGGAATGAGCCATCTAGGCAGGCTCTTCAGTCTCAGTACATCCCACCCAGACTGCCGGAAGAAAGAGAAACTCGAGCCCTTCCTGTCTCCCGGGAGCAGATCAGCACTTTTGTCCCCTGGACTTCTGGGGAAGTAATGTTAAACACCTTTTGAAAGCAGATCTCCACCTCGCCCATCTGCTGGGCCTATCTCTACCTTCTTCTCAAGGAAGAAGGGCAACTCGAAGTCCAAGATTCTGCTCTTAAGCGACTCCTTCCCGCCTCTACACCCTGCTCGAACTAAGTCATGCACAGGGACTTGTTTCACCGATTCCCCCTCCCTTGTCCTCAACTGCTTCGAATAAGGTGCCCCCTCTTCATTAGGACCAGAGCCCCGAACCTCTGCGAGGCCTCGCACCAGGACTAAAAGCGCCTCTGTGCAGAGCCCTCTTCCTTAGGCGCCGGCTCCTCACAGTTCTGGATGCCCCGGACTTTCAATGTCCAGCCCCGCTTTACTTCCCAACTCACCAGCCCGGCCGCGGCTGCCGCCGCCGCCTCCCTGCGGAAACTCGCGGCTTCCCGGGAGCCCGGGGAGCCAGTGACAGCAGCATCACTTCCGCCCGGACGCCGCAGCCAATCAGCGGAGGGTCCTCCAGCACCCCCAACCCGCCGGGCCCAGCAACCGGTGCTCCGGGACGGAGCCTGCAGGCGGCCTCCGCGGAGCGGCGTGCAGGGCTTCGGCTTAGCGCGCGGGGCTCCAACGCCCGAGTCCTCTGGGCATCTTCAACAGGATCCCTCCCCAGAGTGTACTTCTTCATGGCGTCCTTTGAAAAGGGCCTCTCGGTTCCGACCTTAAAACACAACCTCGTTGCTCTTCTTCCTCTGACTGTTATGGCCCTGACTCTCCCTGTAGCAGTCCCAGAAGGGCTCTTGTCTCCACCAGGCCTCCTTCTTTCTCGCGGTCAGAAATCCCTCTTCCTGGCGCCGAGGCAGGGTCCACTTACATCTCAAGGGTCTTCGCCAGCATCCCTGCGCTCCGGGTAGTTCTAACTATAGCCGCCAGAGGGCGCCGTCGGGGGAGGCGCGGAGCCGACGCGGCCTTTCCTCTCGCTGCCCGAGCCTCGCCCCCTCCGCTCGTGCCGCCGGAAGTGGGAGGTGTCGCGCGCGGGCCGGCGCTCGACCCCTCCCCCGTGGCTCGGCCGCCCCCTCCCCCCGCTCCGCCCGCTCAGGTGCGTCCCGTCCCTCCCCCCCTTCCTCCCGGGGGGCGCGGCGCGGGAGGTGTGTGCGGGGCGCGTGCGCCGGGGGGGGGGGCGCTGCGGGGCGGAGGGGTGGGGGCGGGGGTCGTGGTGGGGGGCGTGGAGGGTGCTACGAGGTCGGGGGCGGGTATCCGGGCCTAGAAGCGGGACCGGGGCTGGAAGCGGCGTTGGGGGGGGAGGTAAGGGGAAGGTGTGGAGGTGGCTTTGGCCGAAGCAAGCGGCCAGCGTAGCAGTCCCCTGTTGAGGGTGGCTAGGACCCCCGCCGCTGCTTTACCCTATTGTCCCCTTTCGGTTCTTTTCTGAGGACCCGTCGCCCCAGGCGTCGCCACCTTGCTGGTGGCCGCCGGGGGATTGCGGGATTCCCTTGGGCACACCCGGCCCTCCAGCCAAATGTTCCTCCCCACCCCCGCCCCGGTTGGGCTCTGGCCACGGAACTGCATGTACGACCCTTGCCCTGTCGTTCCGTTTACCCGGCACCGATGACCCCGACGCTAGACATTGTTGGAGGTAGAATATTTGCATTTAAGAGTAATGGCGATTTGGGGTCTCTTCTTCCCAGGAGCTTTATATAATGAGAGAAACTGAGACACAGGCGGTGCTTGAAGTGTTGACACAGCCTGGTCTTCTTATCTGCTCTGTGCACTCTTCAGGGTTCAGGGGTATCACTGGGGTGCTGTCAAAATAAAAACAAGAATGTAAACCAAGGCTGTGTTCACCCCTCACCTCCCAAGGGTTGGTTCGTTGTTTTTGTTTTTGTTTTCCATCTTACCATAGAAGGTCATGAGTTTGCAGCAAAAAGGGTGACCTTTTGGTGGAGGGGGGAAAAAGGCATCTTCTGGGTTTCCTTACCAGTGTTACTATGCTTTTCTGCTTCTCATTTTCATGCTAACCAAGTTCTTTTTTGCTCCACTGTGCTAACTCCTAAGAGTCTGTACTTTGCTCCAGACATGGGTATCAGACTTTTCCCATTTGTGTGGAGGGAACGCATTGAGGGAGTGAAAAAATAATATTGGAGTTGCCAATATCGATTGCTGCTTCTTGCAATCACCTCCAAAAAGACTTTATTTAAGTTAATGGAGAATGCTTTAGATGGAACTGCCATAAAGTGATTTAAAAACATAAGATATTATTGATGCTAGGCCCAAAACATCTTTTGTACCATTTGTAAGATTCTCACAAATTATGATCTATTTTAAATGACTGCACTTCTTAAAAATAAATAAAAACTTTGTATGAACTCCTAGATATTTATGTAAATAAAGTGACTCCTGAAGATTGATGTCCACTGGGACCTATTGCATGCTGTGACTCTTTTAATACCCTACTGCAGAATAGTGTTAAATATTTTCTCCTGGAGCCCAAGATTTTCCTTGTGTGTATTTCTTGGAGCAACTGTTGAGTCGGTATTCTGAGGGGGAAAGATACATTCATCTTAAACTTTTGAAACTTGTAGCCTGTAATTTGTTTCTGAATGTGCAGAGCGCGATGGCAGCATCTGAGGTGGCTGGTGTTGTGGCCAATGCCTCCAATCCGCCGGAATCCTCTTCTATTTTATGTGCTTCCAAATCAGAAGAAAGTCTCCCAGATGGTCTAAGGTAATGTCTGCATTCTTGACAGGGAAGGTTCAATTGGGTAAAGGACTTTTGAGATGGACTTCTGTAGCTGGTCTTTTCCTCTTGAGCTCTAATGACACTGCAGTAGATTAAACTTTCTAAAGGTAGGGACTGCCTGGTCTGTCTGTATTTTTGGTATCCAACAAAGTGTCTTACACTCAGTAGGCATGCTAAATGTTTGTTGAATAAATAGGTTAGAATACATGCATCAATTCATAAAAAAATGTAAATATTTCCCTTCTCTGTCCTATATAGATTGTATGTATTCATTTAAACTTATGTTTATATACCATACTCATTTATAAAATACTTTGTTATGTAGATAGATACAGATATACACAGAGACACATTCACATATATATACATATACAAATGCAGATATGTCTGTGTATCTGCCTATCTAGATATCTTGGTTAATATTGCCTAGTACTTCATGTGCACATTTTGCCTCCCATCCATACTCTCAAGGGTAAGAATTGCAATTACCAATCTTGCAACAATGGTTAATACTTAGTTATGTGCCATGTTGAATTAAGTTGATTAAAGTATCTGGGACTTAACATAATAGATAATATCATCCCATCAACTTTTTTTTTTTTGGTGCTGGGGATTGAAGCCAGGGCCTTGTTCATGTGGTGCAAGCACTCTACCAACTGCGCTATATCCCCAGCCCCTAGTAACTTTATACATATTAAACATTTAATCTTCATATTAGTCCTAGGTGGTAGGTGCTAATATTATTGCTTCCACTTAGAGTTGAAGAAACTGAGACACAGAGAGGTTAGTAACTTGCCCAAGGTTATCAAGCCATGTTGGAGTCAGGGTTTAAACCAAGGTTTGTCTGACTCCAGATAACTTAAACATTTGTTTCAAAGAAGAGATGTGTTGCTAGGTGCAGTGGTACACATCTGTAATCCCAGTGACATGAGATGCTGAGGATTGCAAGGTCCAGGCCAGCTTCAGCAACTTAATGAGACTCTGTCTCAAAATAAAAAATAAGCAAGGCAGAGTGATGCATGCTTATAATTTCAGTGACTCAGGAGGCTGAGGGAGGAGGATCTCAAGTTTGACCGCCAGCCTCAGCAATTTAGTAAGGCCCTAAGCAACTTAGCAAGACCCTGTCTCAAAATAATGAAAATAAAAAATAAAAAAAGGCTGGGAAGCCGGGAGTGGTGCACATGCCTGTAATCCCAGCGGCTCAGGAGACTGAGGAAGGAAGATCTCAAGTTAAAAGTGAGGCACTAAGCAACTCACTGAACCACTGTCTCTAAATAAAATACAAAATAGGACTGGGGATGTAGCTCAGTGGTCAAGAGTGTCTAAGTTCAATCCCCAGTACCAAAAAAAAAAAAAGGCTGGAGATGTAGCTTTGTGGTAAAATGTGTTCAATCCCCAGTACCAAAAAAAAAAAAGAGGAGATGCTTGTTAGTGAATGGGTCATGAGGAAATGTTACATAAACCTAATCATAAACTTGGATCTTTTAAGTCTTTATTCATTTTGTATAAATAAAATCAACCACATACTACTATTAATAATAATAGCAGCTAAGGGTTATTAAGTGTTTACTATATGCTGGCCACTCTGTAATTAATATGTGTGTGTGTGTGTGTATATATATATTCTCATGGAATTCTTATAATACTATTAGGTGGGTTATATAATTTCTATTTTATAAATGAAATAACTTGCCTAGAGTCAAACAGCTAGTAAGTGTTAAGAGTTAGGATTCAAACCTGGCATTGTATGTACCAGATTTAAAATAAGTTCTTTTCTCTCAGCTCACAGTTAACTGCCAGCAAGAAGGAATCAGCTTAAGGTGTGATAAAGATGTTTATATCACAGATACTCTCTCAATTGTTTTATTTTGGACAAGTGGTATTGAGGAAAGGCAGACACATTGACCTGAAGCCTCAGTCATTGCTAGTTTGGGATGCTTAAGGGATCAGTTGACAGAACCATTTAAGAAAGGGGTGAAGGGAAGGGAAAAATTTTAACATAGAATTATATCTATGTGTGAAAGACTTATAGCTGTGAATGTTGGATGTCATTGTAAATATGTTTTAAAGATCGCCTTAAAAAGTAATACACAGCCAGGTGTGGTGGTGCATGCCTGTAATTCTAGCTGCTGGGAGGCTGAGACAAGAGAATCTCGAGTTCAAAGTCAGCCTCAGCAAAAACAAGTCATTGAGCAACTCAGTGAGACCCTGTCTCTAAATAAAGTACAAAATAGGGCTGGGGATGCAGCTCAGTGGGCAAGTGCCCCTCAGTTGTTCAATCACTGGTACCAAAAAAAAAAAAAAAGGCAATACATAGACTGGGAATGTAACTCAGTGGAGAATGTGTATTTAGTACATACAAGGCTCTGGGTTCTATCCCTAGCACTGGGGGAAAAAGTGTCTGTGATAAGTGACAAAATAATTATCCCAATATTAAATATATGTATGCTTGTGGTTCAGGATAAGATTTCTATCAGCAACTTCAATTTTGGATTCAAAATTGAATCCTTAAACAATTGTTGTGTAAGGATTGTTCTTTAAACAACTTGAGGTGATGCTATGCTTTGAAAAACTATTGAATTTAAGTAGTAGTTCTGGCCAAAGTTATTTATAATGAGTTTGAAGGGAAATTATTTTTTGTGGAATATGAGAGTGAGATACAAATAAGTTAATATTTTATTTATGAAAATGTTATGAGTAGCTAAATATTCCAATAAACATTAGGTTATTTTATCTATATCCCCAAAATTATTCATATGGGCCCTCAAAACACTTTTTTAGATCTTCAAGGTCATTTATGTTTAGACATTGGCTGTAGACTGTCTCCAGAACCCAGGTTCTTATCTGCTTATGGAATACAAGTTATTGGATAGAAATGAAATTCTTTGTCATTCTGATATGTAATCCTTTTTAAGACTGGATTGAGTGAGAAAAAAACCATCTTTTTTGTTTATTTTGTTTTTTGGTAATGCTGGAGATCAAACCCAGGGCCTCATGTCTGCTAGGCAAGTGCTTTACCACTGAGCAACACCCAGAACTTAGAAACTTTTTACCTTGTGTTTTTCATAGCCCCAAAGACCCAGCGCAGAAGCAGAAGAACTCACCTCCATCGAGTGTAAGTAGCCAAACGATAACCAAGGAGAATAACAGAAATGTCCATTTGGAACACCCAGAGCAGAATCCTGGTTCATCAGCGGGTGACACTTCAGCAGCGCATCAGGAGGTTTTAGGAGAAAACTTGATAGCCACAGCCCTGTGTCTTTCTGGCAGTGGGTCTCAGTCTGATTTGAAGGACTTGGCCAGCACAGCAGGAGAGGAGGGGGACACAAGCCTCCAGGAGAGCCTCCATCCAGTCACTCGGTCTCTTAAGGCAGGGTGCCATACAAAGCAGCTTGCCTCCGGGAATTGCTCTGAAGAGAAATCCCCACAAGCCTCCATCCCAAAGGAAGGTAGCAGGGACACAGGCTTGGATTTCCGACCTGTAGTGCCTCCAGCAAATGGGGTTGAAGGAGTCAGAGTGGATCAGGATGATGATCAGGATAGCTCTTCCCTGAAGCTTTCTCAGAACATTGCTGTACAGGTCAAGTATCAAGTTTCTACTACTAAAATGGAATTTGGGGTTTTTTTTGTTTTTTTTTTTTTGAGGGTAGGAGATAGTTCATATTTGGTGGAGAGCTATGCTGTCTTGTTTTTTATTTTTTTGTTTTTATTTTTTGTTTTTGCCACCACCCATCATACTGTTTTCATACAATGTCATGCAATGACTTCATTCTGCTGTTCCATAAATAAGAAAGCCAGTAGCCAGTGTTTAATTTTATGGCAAATAGGAGCTTTATGAGCTACATATAATCAATCACTGAGTGATTGATTAGTATAGGTCATTAGCATTCATATTTCCCATCTTTGTCCTTACGGGAGGAATCCTTGTTAATTCTCTGAACTACATCTTAAGAAGTACAGTGTATCCTGCTTTATAGTGACTAGTGTGCTTTGTTGTAGGAGGAAATATGGGCACAGTAGATTCTTATCTCAGATTTGAGGCTTTCTCAGTCCAAATTTGGGTCTTATTCAGGTTATTTTGTGGGATAAATGATTGATGCAATGTGGATGTTGGTGTTCATTTGCTAGAACTACATTGCTTCTCACTGTGAAGCTGATAAGGGGACAGAGCAGAAAGTTTGCTTCTTAGTTGTTTGTGGCAGATTTTGAGTGAAAGTACTGGAATAATTCTGCCTTTTTTAAAGAGACTCTGAAAAATTCTGAATATATTATTTCTTTCTTTTTAGACTGATTTTAAGACAGCAGATTCAGAGGTGAACACAGATCAAGATATTGAAAAGAATCTGGTAAGTATTAAAAGTGTCATTTTATATGACACCTTTAAAGTATAAAATCTAGAAACGTTTTATCTCAGTTGAAAAAAGTGCAGGAATCTCCTTGTTCACTCTAGAGAGTGTAATAGCTCTACATATATTTAAAGTGTGTGTGTGTGTGTGTGTTTTCAGTGCCTCCTCCTCAAATCCAAATTCTTTCTTTCTTTTTCTTTTTTTTTTTTTCCTTTCTTGGTACTAGGGATTTAACCCAGGTGTGCTTTACCACCAAGCCACACTAGCAGCTTTTTAAATTTTGAGACAGGGTCTTGCTGAGTTGCTTAGGGCCTCACTCAGTTGCTGAGGCTGATTTTGAACTTGCGGCGGTCCTCCCCCTCAGCCTCCTTAGTTGCTGGGGATTACACAGGTGTAATGCCCAGCTTAGTCTAAATCTTTCCAGGTGAAATGTTCCTACTTTGTTTTGTTTTGTTGTTGCTGGGTTGGTTTGTTTGTTTGTTTTAGCATTTTTCTTTTTATGATATTTTTTCCAGTTTTTAATCCTTTTATCCTGGTTACTTTCATTTAGCTATGTTCCATTTTATCAGTCTTTCTTTTAAAATCTGATGGACACAATACAGTACCTTTATTTTTATGTAAAAAAATGAATCAAATGAAATAGTTCAGATTATATCATAATTAGTCCACAGTAGAATGAGTCTCAGCCTCTTATTCTAAACACTATTTCTTAAGCTTACATTGACTAATTTTGGTAATCTTGTCACATCATTGAGCTTCCAGTCAAACTCTGTCAAGTTATTTATTTATTTATTTTTTTAAATGTACTGTTTACATGTATCTTTTCCATTTTATTCCTTGGTAATTAGTTTTTAAATCTTAGAGGACTTTACTTTTACAAATCCCTGGGGTCTTGCTATATTTGCCAGGCTGGTCTCCCAGGCTCAAATGATCCTCCTGCCTCAATCTCCCAACAATCTGGGAAAGACACTAGGATCAGGAAAAAGAGATCTTGAGGGTAAGATGTGTTTCTTGAAAGAACAACAATATAGAAAGGAAAAGTGTTTGGTGCAAACTAATGCTTTTTTCCTGTGTTATTCTAAAGATGTATCATGGAGAACTGGAAACAGTGGAATATGCCTGTAATCTCAAGAGACTTGGGAGACTAAGGCAGGAGGATCACAAGTTCAAGGCCAACCTCGGCATTTAGTGAGGGCCTAAGCAACTTAGTGACACCCTATCTCAAAATGTCTGGTGATGGGCCGGGATTATGGCTCAGTGGTAGAGCACTTGCCTAGCATGTGTGAGGCACTGGGTTTGATTCTTAGCACTGTATATAAATAAATATAAAGTCCATTGACAATTAAAAAAATATTAGAAAAAAAAAAGAAAAATGTCGGATGATGCAGCTCAGTGGGAAAGCACCCGTGAGTTCAATCCCCAGTACCAAAAGAAAAAAAAAAGATGTATTATAAAAAGATGTATTATGAATGAAGGAGGTAAAGGAAAGGAGCTGTGGTTAAAAAAGAAAAGAATCCTTTAATCTTCTGGTTCACTTACTGGTTCTTAAACTTTGTTAACAAAGTTAACAATGTTTATGTCCTCTTTTAGAATCTTTTGAAAACTTTTAATTGTCATCAAAGTAAAATGCACACCCACACCCCAATTTCAGAGAGTACAAAGATCCCCCAGGGTTATCCACAGACCCTACATTCATAATCCCTGCAAAGATGTGATGTTGAGGAATCAGTTCTTTGGAGTGATGTGGTCACATTTTGGTACATGGACTGAGGACTGGTTTATCCCAAAGTTAAACCATCTTGAGAGCCTGTTTTTTTTTTTTTTTAATATTTATTTTTTTAGGTGTAGATGGACACAACACAATGCCTTTATTTTTATGTGGTGCTGAGGATCGAACCCGGGTCCCGCTCGTGCTAGGCGAGCGCTGTACCGCTGAGCCACAATCCCAGCCCGAGAGCCTGTTTTTTATGATGATAATACAATATAGGTTTTCTAATATTCACTTTCAGGAACTTTATTTTCTTGAAAAATAATCATCCTTTAGAGAACAAATTCAGCTTAATACTCTTGGTTTAATTTTTACAAGAACTACATTATACCAAATTTGCTTTAAATTGACTCTTTTAAGTTTTTATGTTCATTTGAGAGGTGACCATTGCTTTCCTTAATTTGCTGATGAGAGGGAGGCAGAGCCATATTGTGGTCCTCACAAACATCACTTCTAATCCATAATTTATGTGAGCTTTCTGAGTTGCTCATTCTGAATATGAGGTTGCCCAGACTTCTTTAGTGGATGTGTCAGTTGTCAGTGCTAATGATTGGTAAGGCTTCCTATTCTTTGAGTAGGTGATCTGTTCTTTGTTCTGGCGTATTACTTTTTTCTCTCTCCTAATGGACGATAGAATATCTCCTTTCTCTTATCCCTAGTAACAGTGGTGGGCAAACATTTTCTTTAAAGGACCAGATAGGTTCTGTGGATTGTGTGGCATTTATTGTAATCTTTCCACTTTGCTGTTATAGTTTGAAAGCAATCTTTAAACCAATGGGCATGGCTTTGTTCTAATAAAACTTACTTATAAAAACATGCGATGAGGGGCTGGGGATATAGCTCAGTTGGTAGACTGCTTGCCTTGTATGCACAAGAACCAGGGTTCAATCCCCAGCACCACAAAAAACAAAAAAACATAAAACATGCGATGGCTGGATTTGTCACACATGCCGTAGATTGCCAACCCCTGCTTTATAGCAGTATTGTATAACAGAAATTTCTGTAGTGGTAGAAATGTTCTGTTAACCTAGTTGTTTGGTATAGTAGCCACTAATCATATTTGGCTTTTGAGTATTTGAGGTGTGCCTAGGTAATTGAGGGTCTGTTTGTTTCTATTTTATCATTTTGATTAATTTTACCTATCCATATCTGGCTAGTAGCTACTGTATTGGACATCACAGCTTTAGAACTCTGTATAATGTCTTGGTTAGGCATTTAGTTTCTTACATTTAAATTGGAAAATAAACTTGTTTTTTCCAATAGGACAAAATGATGACAGAGAGAACCCTATTGAAAGAACGTTACCAGGAAGTCCTGGACAAGCAGAGGCAGGTGGAGAATCAACTCCAAGTGCAATTAAAGCAACTTCAGCAGAGGAGAGAAGAAGAAATGAAGAATCACCAGGTAGTTTACTTATTAAAATTTTTGAACTGGAGATATAACTCAGTGGGAGAGTATTTGCCTTGCATTTGCAAAAGAGAGAACTGAGGTTGTGGCTTAGTCGTAGAGCGCTTGCGTGGCACGTGCGAGGTCCTGGGTTCGATCCTCAGCACCACATAAAAATAAATAAATAAAGGTTTTGTGTTCAACTGCAACTAAAAAATAAATATTAAAAAGAAAAAAATCAAAGAGTAAAGCAACAGTTCTGATCAGACTTTTTTTTTAATATTTATTTTTCAGTTTTAGGTGGGCACAATATTTTTATTTTTATGTGGTGCTGAGGATTGAACCCAATGCCTCATGCATGCTAGGTGAGCACTCTTATCACTGAGCCACAACCTCAGCCCCCGATCAGACTTTCAAGTTTGTTTCTTAGTAGAAAAAGAAACGCGATATTTACTTTTTAATGGTTGTCATAGAAGTTTAAGAATAAAAACAATCCTGTTGTCCAGGGGATAAATCTGATTTTAGTTCAGAGAGGAAAAGATTATTTATTTAATATATTTTGTTGATATCTTATGTTATTTGGAAAAATATATTCATAAGTAGATTAAAAATCTCTATATAAAAACTGGAAAAAAGTTGAACGTAGAAGAAAATTTTGGGGAGTATTTATAAAACCTCAAATTATAAGAGGTCACTTTAAGCAAGGCAGAAAACCCAGAAGCCATAAAAAATTAATTAATTAATTTAATTACATATAATTAAAAATACCAAGTGATGTAAAAATTAGTTGAAAGATTGTTAAACTGAGTGGAAATATTTTTAGCAAAAAAAAATGTATATATGCATACATATATGTGTATGTATACATATATATGTACATACGTGTGTATGTGTATATATATACATATATATATACACACACATACATATATATACATATGTATATACACACATGTATGTATGCGTATATATGTGTATGTGTATATATATGTATATATATATATATATATATATATATATATATATATATATATGTGTGTGTGTGTGTGTGTGTGTGTGTGTGTGTATTTAGCACATCTGACCAGATATAATGTCTGACATTCTGAAGATAGCTCACATTCATGGTAAAAGTCAATCTAGAGAAAAAATCAGGAAAGGTTATTATGCTATTTTCCTATTGCTCATGTAACAAATCACTATGGGTTTAGCAGCTTAAAGTCTACATTAAGCTGGGTATGGTGGCTTACACCTGTAATCCCAGTGGCTCTGAAGGATGAGGCAGGCGAATCTCGAGTTCAAAGCCATCCTCAGCAAAAGTGAGGCACTAAGCAACTCAGTGAGAATCTGTCTCTAAAGTACAAAACATAGCTGGGGATGTGGCTCAGTGGTTGAGTGCCCCTGAGTTCACTTCTTGGTACCCAAAGGGAAAAAAAAAAGTCTACATAGAGTGTCACTGGGCTAAAGTCAAAGTACTAGTAGGACTGTGTTCCTTTCTGAGAGTTCTAGGGCCAACTCTTTCTTGTCTGTGGCTTGTAAAGCCTGCCTTCATTATTTGACTTAAGGGCCCCTTCATCTTGAAAGCAACAACAGTGTCTCTTTGATCTTTATTCCCTAGACAAATTTTGCTCTGATCACAACTGGTAATTGTTCTCCACTTTTAAGGATTTAGGTGATTATATTAGGCCCACCCAGATAGTTCATTAATCTCCCTATCTTAAGGTCCTTACCATAGTTACATTTTCAAAGTCTCTTTTGCTATGGAAGGTAACATAATAAATAGGTTCTAGGGATTAGAATATGGATATCTTGGGGGAGGGTATTATTTTGCCTACTATAGTTATAAATAGTACTTCATAGAAGAGGAAAAGCAAAATGATTGTAAATAATTGGAAAGAAGCTCAGACTCACAGGTACTCATTCATTCAGAAAATATTTTTAGAGTGTTTGATGTAAGTTTTGGACATTTAGTAATGAACAAAACATTATTCAAATAAGCATTAAACAATAAAGAATGCCAGGCACGAAGCACATGCCTGTAATCCCAGTGGCTCAGGAGGCTGAGGCAGGAGGATTGTGAGTTCAAACCACAAAAAAGTGAGGCGCTGAGCAACTCAGTGAGACCCTCTCTCTAAATAAAATACAGAATAGGGCTGGGGATGTGGCTCAATGGCCAGGTGCTCCTGAGTTCAATCCCTGGTATAAAACAAAGAATGAAAGTTAGGGAAGTACACATTAATATTATTGGATACTATTCTTTACTCCCTCAAGTGATGAGCCAAAATGAAATAAGTTGTCAAGCATGAGGTAAAGTGAACTCTTGTAGACATGATTAGTAAGAGTGTGAATTATGATGACCTCATTAGTTATTAGGAATTGTCAGTTAAAATTTAAAATATGCTTCTACTTTGACCAGTCTCATCATTGGGAGTCCATTCTACAGGCACAAATTTATGTATGAAAGTATAGACATATAGAATGTTTATTGCAGTTTAAGCAAGGCACAAAACCCAGAATTTAATTATCTATAATTAAAACTACCAGCTGGGTGCAGTGGCGCATGCCTGTAATCCCAGCAGCCTGTGAGGCTAAGACTAGAGGATCATGAGTTCAAAGCCAGCCTCAACAACAGTGAGTCCCTGTCTCTAAATAAAAATGCAAAATAAGGCTGGGGAAGTGGATTAGTGGTTGAGTGCCCTTGAGTTCAATCCCCAGTACAAAACAATATAAAAACCTGCTGAGAGAGAGAAAATATTTTTAGCACATATAAAAAAAAAATTTTTTTTAAACACCTTTTTTTATACCTTTATTTTATTTTTATGTGGTACTAAGGATCGAACCCAGTGTCTCACGCATACTAGGTGAGTACTTTACCACTGAGCCACAACCCCAGCCCCTCATAAAAAAATTTAACGTTTATGACATTCTGAAGATTTCTACAAATTCATGGTAAAAGTAAAAAAAAAAAAAATCTAGAGAAAAATCAGGAAAGATTTTTTTGTGATAAGAAGTAAAATTACAAAAAAAGTTGGAATAAACCCAAAGGTCTTTTAACAGTTCATCAGGATAAATTGGATATGTCTATGTGATGTCCTATTATGCAGCTAGGTATTTTTGAGTTATATCTGTAGTTATTGATGTATGTTGTCCAAGTGGAAAAAAGCACAATGTAAAATAATGAATATAAAATAACTTCATAAAAAAAAGAAAAACGGGATGGAGGATATAATTCAGTGGTAGATTGTGTGCTTTGCATGATCAAGACTCTAGGTTTGATCCCCAGGAATGCTTAAAAAAAAAAGCCAAAGAAATAGATATATAAGTACATGTGTATTTCTTTGAGAATTGAGAAAATGTGCAGTCATAATAAGAACAGTTAACACATTGATTGCCCTTATGGGTGGAAGTGGTATGAACTTGGGGGTAATTTAACTTCAATACTTTTGTATTGTTTGATTTCTTATTTGCTGCTGTTAAATAATAAAAAAGTCAAATAAACAGAAGACCCATACATATAACAAATAGAACATGAGTAGAATAACAAAACAAGACAAGACCAATTTGTTGGATGCAACAAACTCGCTCCTACAGCAAGAATGCCTTTCCCAGCAGTCTTGAGGGGTGTTCATTTGACATTTGAGCACCAAAAATGGACAACTTATTGCTTCACAAGGCAGTGTGTTTCATTTTTGAACGGTGTGATTATTATACGGTTTTTTCCTGTTGAGTTGAAGTCTATGTTCCTGTAACTTTCTCCCTGCAGTCTGAATTCTGACTTTTGGAGTTGCTCAACAACCAGATTCTTTCAATTCAGTTTGAATCCACTAAAATCAATATGTATATGTGATTGTTGAACACAACCTTCAGATCAAAAGAACTAATTTATTTCCTTCTTTATTTGTGTGTGACTGTAATTTTGTGGGATTTAGGAGATATTAAAGGCTATACAGGATGTGACAATAAAGCGAGAAGAAACAAAAAAGAAGATAGAGAAAGAAAAGAAGGAGTTTTTGCAGAAGGAGCAGGATCTGAAAGCTGAAATTGAGAAGCTGTGTGAGAAGGGCAGAAGGTAATTAATGTGCGTATGTGTACATGTGTGCATATGGGGCCACTTTCATTTGTGTTGTAGTTTCTTTCAGTCTGGTTTTTATTTGAAAAACAAGCACACAAATAAAACTCTCTAATGATTTCGCATTCTCAGTATTCTGTTAGACTTAATAGAAAAGAGGTATCAGTATTTTTTAATAACTTTAAAAATTTATAAAGTTAAGGGACTGGGGTATAGCCTAGTGGTAGAGCACCTATATACAGAGCCCTTGGTTAAATCTCTAGCACCAGAAAGAAAAAAGAAGAAAGAAATTATAGCAGTTAATTATTGAGTTCTGTATATGATCAAAATTTTGATGTGTGAGCCAGGCATAGTGGTGTAGGTCTGTAATACCAGCTACTTGGGAGGCTGAGGCAGGAGAATCACAAGTTTGGGACTGGCTTATTTAGCCCGTGGCCAACACAGGCTTCATAAATGAAGGTTCAGCTGCGTGAGAAATCCAAGGGAGTTTTGAATTAAAGAGACAGGTTCTAATTACCTTTAAACCAGCTCCAGGGTGGCTTCTCCTAGCTCCAGCCTCAAGCTGCCTATTATGGTAGCGAGGTTTACTGAAGAGGCTAGTGAGCAAGAGAGAACATGCCAGGGAATGGACTTTTATTGGGGAACAAAAAATTCTGGGGAAAATCCCATCCAATGAAGATTAAGGGGGTCAGTGTCCCAAGGTCAGATGCGATGATTGGGTCTTCAGGGTAGTGGCCAGACACGCCTCCACACAGACAAGCCCTTGGACCTGAGAAGGGTGGGGAAAGCTCTGGACACAAAGATGTGACTAAGCGCCTCTCGCCCAGCCAGGGATGTAACTCAAATCACGTGCGAGGATGGCCTCCCATAGGCTTAGGCAACCTAGCAAGACCCAGTTAAAGTGTTATAAACTAAATTGGTTCTTATTATTTTTGATGAGAAGTAAGTGACAATTGATGTTGTTTTTTCTGTATTATGTCACTATTTACTCCCCAAGATTTTCTCATTTTCTTTAGTTTTTAGCTATTTGACTTTCGGGTGTGGTTCTCTTCATATTTTTTCTGTTGAGAATTTTCTGAGTTTCTTAATCTATAAAGTTGTGTCTCTTACCAAAATTATTAAATTTTTGTAGCATAATTTTCAATTATTTTCTCTGCCCCATTTCATCTTTTCCTCCTGGACTCCATGTCCACATGTGTAAGACTTTGATATTGTCCTATAGCTCAACAAGTCTCTTCTTGCTGTTTCTTTCCAGTCTTTTAGTACCCGGAATTGAACCCAAGGGCAGTTAGCCACTAAGCCACATCCCCACTCCTTTTTTATTTTTTATTTTAAGACAGGATCTTGCTAAGTTGCTGAGGCTGGCTTCGAACCTGTGGTCCTCCTGCCTCAGCCTCCCAAGTTGCTGGGATTATAGGCATGTGCCACCATGCCCAGCTCTTTCCAATCTTTTTAATTTTCTTTCTTATATTGTATAATTTCTATTGTATCTTTAATTTACTTACTTTTCCTTATATCATTTTCATTCTTGTAATTAAGCCCATGCAGTGAATTTGAATTTCATATTTCCAGTGTTGTTATTTCTCAGTTCTGTCATTTCAGTTTAGTTCTTTTTTTAAATGTGTTTATTTGTTTAATTTTATGTGATTCTGAGGATCGCATCGAACCCAGTGCCTCACATGTGCCAAGCAACTGCTCTACTACAGAGCCACAACCCTAACTCTATTTTTTTTTGTAATTTCTCTGCCAAAAATTATTATTTGTTTATACCCTTGTGAGCATATTTTCCTTGTGTCCCTTCATATAGTTAAAAATGGAGGCTTTAGAATATTTTCCTGCTAATTCCAGCATCTTGGTCATCTTGAAGCTCCTATCCATTGATTGCCTTTTTTCTTAATCTGGAGTCAGCAATCAAAAGTATTATCTGAAGGCTGGGAATGTAGCTCAGAGGTGAAGTACTTGCCTAGTATGCGCAAGGTCCTGGGTTTCATCCCCAGCAAAAGCAAAACATAAAAACCCCATTTTTTCTGGCCAGGTATGGTACACACACCTATATCCCAGCACCCAGAAGGCTGAAGCTGGAGGATCACTTGAGCCTGGGAGAACAGCCTGGGCAACATAGCAAGACTACTCTATCTCCATTAAAAAAAAAAAAAAAAAAGAGAGAGAGAGAAAAAAATGTCATCCTAAGAAAACAGACACAGAATATATATGATTTTTATTCACACAGAATTCTAGAGAAGATATAATTATAGTAAGGAAATGTATTTCACTGGGTGTCAGCAGTTTAGGGTGAAGGGAAGGAATTGACTGCTTTCTAGTAAATATTTTAGGCTTTTCAGATCAGTCTTTGCCCATTAAACAACAACAGCAACAAAATCCTTTGTCTTCTGATCGAGTTATGAGAGATCTTTATATATTTTCTGTATGAATTCTTTTATCAGATATGTGTTTTATAAATATTTTCTACTAGTTTGTAGCTTGCTTTTGCATTTTGTAATAGTGTCTCTTGAAGAACAAAAGATACAATTTTGATGAAGTCCAGTGTACTGCATTTTTTCTTTTGTGGTTCATGCATTTTGCATTCTCTTAACCCAAAGTCACCTTCTTTGAGAAAGTTTATAGTTTTAACCTTTACATTTAGGTCTACAATCCATTGAGTTTATTTTTTAGTATGGTACACCTAAGGCTGGAGTATCATATGGATGTATATTTGTTCCAACACCCTATGTTCAAAAGACTATGCTTTCCCCATTGAATTACCTTGACACTTTTGTGGAAAATAAATTGACCACTGTTGAGGAAATAGAGTAATTTTTTTTGGGGGGGGGGGGGTACCGGCGAGTGAACTCAAGGGCACTCGACCACTGAGCTACATCCCCGGCCTTATTTTGTATTTTATTTAGAGACAGGGTCTCACTGAGTTACTTAGTGCCTTGCTTTTGCTGAGGCTGGCTTTGAACTTACAATCCTCCTGTCTCAGCCTCCCGAGCTGCTGGGATTACAGGCATGCACCACTGTGCCCAGTTGTAAATACAGTTTAGCGTTAGCTGCTCGGGAGATGAGGCAGGAGGGTTACAAGTTTGAAGCCAGCCTGGGCAACTATCAAGACCGCGTCTCAAACAAAAAAAGAATAAAAAGCTGGGAATATAGCTCAGTGGTAGAACACTTGACTAGCATATGTGAGTTCATTTCCCAGTAACACACACACACACACACACACACACGCACAAACACAAGAAGAAGAAGAAAAAAGAAAATCTTCCCCCAAACCAGAAAACCACTCTGAAAAGGTGATGGAGAAAGAAAACAGTTATAATTGAATAGCTGTTAAATCTGAATGTGGGGCTGGGGATATAGCTCAGTAGAGTGTTTGCCTTGCATGTACAAGGTGCTGGATTCAATCCCCAGTACCACACAAAAAAAAAAAAAGAAGAAGAAGAAGAAAAGAAAAATCTGAATGTGATATACATCACAGGTAAACCTCTGACAGATGGCAAAGACCAAGATCTTACCCCCTTATATAACAAAGAGAAACAACCTATTACAGTGCTTTCAAGATAAGAAGTAAGGCTGGGCACAGTGGCTCACGCCTGTAATCCCAGCAGCTCTGGAGGCTGGGACGCTTAGACAGGAGGATCACCAGTTCAAAGCCAGCCACAGCAAAATCGAGCCGCTAAGCAACTCAGTGATATTTAGTATCTCTAAATAAAATACAAAATAGGGCTGGGTATGTGGCTCAGTGGTCAGTGCCCTTGAGTTCAATCCCCAGAACCAAAATAATAAATAAGTAAATAAATAAATAAATAAACAAACAGTAGTCCTTAAGTAAGAGGACTTGACAGCACTTTTTGTTAAGAATGCTTCACCCAATTTATGGTAATTGGGGAGATCCCTTGTGTAGTTTTACTTGGAGAAACAGATTGCTTTATCATAGGAGATAATTTTGTAAATTGGAGTAAGGTGCCCTCCTGCTTTCCCTTGGGATCTGGGAGACAAGGGCGCTGTTTCCTTGGATGTGTGCAGTTTAAAGGGATGGCTTCTAGGTACTTGAAACATTCCTGATTTGTGTGACTATTTTTAGAGTTTATAATATACATACAACAGGCAGAAAATTTGAAAGAAAAGGTTGCGGGGTCCGGTGGGGGAGATTAGTTAGGGGAGAATTTCTTCCATAATTTTCAAAAGGGAGAATTAAAGCCCTTATTTTTCTTTTATATTTGCCCTTACACATACAAATGTGGCTCTATTTCTGTACTTTATTCTGTTATGTTGGTATATTTCTTTCCTTCTTTGCCTTGTGACTTTTTACATCTTAAAATCAAATCAAATGCATCCTCCAACTCTGTTCCTTTCTTTCTTTCTTTCTTTCTTTTTTTTTTTTTTTTTGGTACTGGGGATTGAACCCAGGGTTACTTTACCACTGAGCTATATTCCCACCCTTTTAAAAAATTTTTATTTTGAGACAGAGTCTTACTAAATTGCTGAGGCTGGCCTTGAACTTGAGATTCTTCTGTCTCGGCCTCCAAGTAGCTGGGATTACAAGTATGTATTATGAATGCCTGACTTTTTTTTTCAGAATTGTTTTGAATATTCAAGATACTTTTTATTAATTTAAAATCATATTATCAGGGCTGGGGATGTGGCTCAAGTGATAGCGCGCTCGTCTGGCATGCATGCAGTCCGGGTTTGATCCTCAGCACCACATACAAACAAAGATGTTGTGTCCGCCAAAAACTAAAAAACAAATATTAAAAAAAATTCTCTCTCTCTCTCTTTAAAAAAAATCATATTATCAATTTCTATAAAAAACAGTGTGCTTGATATTTGTTTGGATTTGTATTGAATCTTCAGATCATTTTGGGAAACTGATGTACAATAATATTGAGTCTTCTATTTAGTCATGTAGAAGATTACTTTTTTTTTTTTCCTTCTTTAGTTTCTCATGGCAATGTTTTGTAGATTTGAGAATCAAAAAGATAGTCCTTACTCTCTGTACT